ATGGGGATGCTTCTCTGCAGCAGGGACTGGAGCACTTGTCAGGATAGAAGGAAAAATGGATGGGGCAAAATAGTCAAATTCTTATGGAAAATCTGCTGCCCTCTACCAGAACATTTAATTGGGAAGAATATTTTACTTCCAATATGAAAAAGACCCAAAGCACACAGCAAAAATTACCACACAGTGGTTGAAGGAGAAAAAGGTGAATGTCCTTGCATGGCCAAGTCAGAGCCAAGATTTAAACCCCATTGAAAATCTGTGGAATGACTTGAAGACTGCAGACCACAAATGGTCACCATCAAATTTAACTGAACTCGAGCAGTTCTGCAAAGAAGATTCTGCTACATGTCTTTACTTAAAAAAAAAAAAAAAAAAAAATCCCAATACATGTAAAATAATTGGTTTACGTGAAAGTTATAGCATTTACAAATGGCTGTATATATACTGGATTTTTATTTTTTTTTATTTTTTTTAATTTTTACTAGTAATGGCGGTGACTGCAGCGGGCATTCTGACTATGGAGGGAACTGACAGGAAGGGGTTAACATTAGGGGCAATCAAAGAGTTAACTGTGAGCTGTTTCACTATGTGCTGTGTCCGTGTTCTTCATTGTAAGCACACGGGTTTGCTTTGGATGGCTGTGCATAGCACAGCCATCCAAAGCAGTGTGTACGAGTTGACAGTGAGGAGAACTGTTTTGTTCACAAACAGTTCTCTTCTTCGTTGGAGATGTTCGGCAATCACTGGCCGGGACCCGGTAGTTGACAGCCACGGGTAGGATGCGCATGCCCCCTACCTGGAAATAAAAATATATATATATATATATATATATATATATATATATATATATATATATATAAACACACACATATATGCACCACACACACACATACATATACACACACACGTGCACCCGTCCGTCCTGTAGCAGTAAAAAAGTGCCTATGCCATTACAAATTCAATAATTGCTCAGTTGTGCTCTAATTTTTTGGCACTGTGCTGCTGACAGCCTAAAGATTTACTGCTACTTAGGGGTTCAGCAAGAATAAACAGGAGCAATGTTGGAAGCAATTTACAGCACATATTAATTTTAGCAGCATAATTATTAGTGTGGAATGCATGTTCCTTGCTAAACAACTTTTTTTTTTATTAAGTTGTTATGGGTAATGTTCTGCTTTAAAGTGTAATTTCACTTATTTCTAACAAGAGAACCCATTATCCTTGCTAAGCTATGCAGTGAAATGAAGAGTTGCCAGTTCAAGTGGCCACATGGCAATTATGTCTATTTTCTCCTTCACAATTCACAATTGACTTATGCACTAAGTTCCTATACCTTCCAATAAATTCTGGTAACGGAACATGGTTTATCTAGTTTTTTTTGGTCAAAATTTGTTTACGATTAGGCTGCCAATCTTTACATGCACAGGTACCCAGATAAATTCATATTGATGTATAAGCAGTCAAAAGAGAAAAGAATTATAACCAAATATATTGTCTGCTAGACCAGGTAACTACTGCATTGTCAAGTATTACTAATATTTCAGCAGCAGGCTAAGGTGACGAGGGTTTATAGGCTGTGACAATCCCCACGTACTGTTGGACAGTCCGATCTTTTCCAGTCTGAATTCTTAGGAGAAACTGAAGGGTTCAATGAGGTGGTAGATTTAGATTTCCAAATATGCAATAAATAATGACAGATAGAACCTGTTTGAGGATTATGGGCACCATATCTGGTGTCTCTTTTCCTATGGTTATGTATGGGCAGCATACTTGGTGTCTCTTTTCCTATGCTTACAGAATAAGCTGTTGCATTTAAAGATTTGAGGATGACAAAAACCCATGATAAACCTGTACACAACCTTAGAGACATCAATAAATTGATTATCAGATCATATAACAAAATAATAAGTTAAAACAAGTGATTAATAGCTGTTCTATACATTAGAAAAACATTGCATAATGTGCCTGGTAGGTTTCTTTAGGCAAAGATATATTTAAAGTTTAAAGGATACCTATCTTGAGAAACATGGAGCTTGCCATCATTGCTTGGCTGTTATTGTGGCCCTCTTCTTTCAACATCCTGGAGTCAATAATGAGGGACAAGATAAGGGCTTCTATATTTCTGATGTGCCTGGTTCCAGGTCAGTATTGATGCCAATAGGATCAGGAGAACAGTCAGGCAACTAGTATTTTTAGGAGGTCAGCGATGGTAGGCCCCATATTCATCTCAAGACAGCTTTACTTTATGAGACATCTAAAAACTCAACAGTACATAGATTAAGCAAAACAAAAAATGATTATTCGTTTCATTGGATTGCAATTTACATATTCAAAACTGCATTTCTTCTTGCAGACCAACAACATGATGCCAGGTAAACTAGTGCATTTATCCAGGAAGGGTATTAAAAGACCGGCAACTCTGCTTGGGATGAATCTAATGTATAAAGATCAGAGTTCTCTGTAAGATATTTAATTATCACAGAGTAATGTGAAGTCTCCATCTAAACTAGTCACAAAGACCTTTCTTTTAGGTCTCTCCCACATCCAAAGATGGAAAGCTCATCTTACTTCAACAAGTCATTTTCTTATAGGTGCAGCTGCAAATCTATAGGCAGGTCACGTGTATTTAGCAGTTTTGGCCACAGGTTAGCTTTTCATGAATGCACATAGAAACACACAAACATACAACTTTACTTGAAAAACAGAATAAGTGTTTATTGTTGCAGAATTACATGATTCTTTTATACATATTTCATAAATGATACAGGATTTTACACATCTATATTTTGCTTATTTATAGGACATTCCTCCATGCTCCAAACCTCCCCGCACACTCACACTCAACCGACCCTTTGAGACAATTCCTGTGTTTTTACTGCTTCGAAATACTTCATACAAACATGTCTAGACCATTTGTTGCAGGAGGTGCCCCAATGGGCAACTGCTCCTACCCCCATCAGCAGCAGAAGTGCAAATGGTAAAAAGAAGAGCTTTACGTTGAATTAGTGTTAAAAAGAGCATCTCCTGTGCAAGATCACAGTAATCCAAGCAGAAACATAGGCAAAGGGTCATTATGCTTTGGCCATACCATGAACATTTGAGTACCTTGTCATTTTAGCTGCTCTGCCTTTAACAAGGATTCTAAAGGACTACTTGTGATACTCTGTACTCTTAATTAGGGTCTCTCTCCATGGAGATGATTGTCAATCGTGCTTATATCACATCAGCCACCCTTGCTTCATTCATTAACATGATTTCTAGGGCACTGCTTGAAAATACAGATCAAGGCATAGGATCCCACCAGAGAGAAAGGTAATGGGAATGACACATTACCACCAAGAAATTTATTATTGCCTGTGCTTTGAGGCCTACGTTCTGCAGGGATCTACAATCTTGAACAAAACACAAGACATAAAAGACAAACAAGTACATGATGGAAAACAGATTTAATCCACCTGAGAGGAGAGAAGTAGGTGACAGTTATTAAGACTTATACGGCAGCATGTGCCAGCTATATTCCACGTGGACTCAAGATTTAGGCTGGCAAAGAGTCCTTGGTAGCATAACTGCCAGCTATTAATTAATACATGAAGAGAACATATACTCTCCTCTCGATTTCATTATATGCAAGGCACCAGTCAACTGGCTTCACTTCTTTAGTTCTGTAATCCTATCCCTGAAGTAGGAGCCTTTCACAGTGGGAGTCCTTTAAAAAATGTCTCTGCAAACTTGTAGCCCAAACACTCCCTCATTTGCCCTGTTTCAACACCCCCCAACAAGAGACTGCACCATTTTGATATTGAAAGTCTGTGGAAGAGCAGCGTATTCCAAGAAAAAACAAAAAAGGAACGAAAACCCCCTGAAATCTTTGGAACAAAGATGGAGGTTATATCTCGGCCTTGGCCACTCTCCAGCTCTTTAGTGATATGTAGATAAACAAAATGTAGACAAAGCTGGACGGTTTAGGTGGCGTTTTCATCCAGGAAGAAATTGTATTTCCACCAGCAGAAGACCAACTTGAAAATGTAAATCTTTATGACTTTATTTGATAAATCATGATAGAATGAGGTGGTAACCCTTTTGATTTTTTCATGCAACCCTGATATGCTACTAAGCCACTTCCCAAGAGTGCGGGACAGGGGAACATCTCCCTCCCAAAAAGAACAGACATAAAAACCAATCATGCATTGAGCCCCTGAAATATATATAGCCAAGGCTGTGGGAGAAATAGGGACAAGGGACATTTAAGAAAGTGATTACAAGAAAAATCACGTGCGTTTTTTTTTTCTCTTTTTTTTTAATGCATAGCAGAAAGTCTCACGGTGTTTGGGACTTGGATTAAAATGGGACAGTGTTGCACCTTAACATGACATGTGCACGAACCCGGAGTTCATCAGAAGAAGGCAAGAAGACCTCAACCAAGCCTCGATAGATGCTTCTCAAGGGTAGAGAAAAGCGTTATGCTGCAGTGACTTCTGGTCCAACGCTTCTCCAAATGGCATTAAGTTGTGCGCTATGTTACTGGCGTACCTTCAATGGCTCAGCAAACTAATAATCCATCTTTTTGTTTTAAATAGGCACTCTGCCGCACTTTAACTTGTCATAAAACCAGGCGAATGAAAAAAAAAATAAAAATAAAAAAAAAATGAACATTTAATTGCTTTGGGACCCTGGTCCATAAATTTCACCATTCACCTTCATTCACCAACAAGTAAAATATATATAGTTTCAATAAGAAATTTCTTAAGCCCTTTGAAATAGGCTTTTAAAGAGGTCAAGGCCCCAACCTTCAATTAAATTTCATTTTTAATCTTCCGTTTGCTTTTTTTTTTTTTTTTTTTTAACAAAAGGTTTAAAAATTTAGGGAGAAAAAAAAAAAAGGGGGGGGGAAATGATCACCCATCCCATTATCATATCCCAGCTACCACCTATAATGCTTTTATTTCAAAGGCAAGAGATATCCACAGGTTTTGCTGGGGATTTTAAGAGTTGTACAATGATCAATCCTTAGCATCTTCAATTTGTTGGATTGGAAGATGTAGCTGCAGGGGGTCACGTAACCTCTTAAGGTCCAACTCAGCCTAAGAGATAAAAAATAAATATGTAATTATTCCTATTATAAACTTCTAAGGTATGCTAAATATAATGTGTAAGTATGTCACGTATGTTCTGCAAATTAAATTTTGGGAATATTTATAAGCGCTTAAGCAAAGGGAACAGCTGCATATGGTTAACTGCAACTATAAAAATGTACTAAAAGACTACCTAATTCCAGAGAGTGGAAAATATGTTTTTACGCATTCCTTTAAACTACACATTGCAAATTTTAAAGGATAACTATCACAAAACTCACTGTATTCTGCAAACTGTATGTGGCTGATCCATTCAATGCATTTTTTTTTCTTTTTACATGCCTTTAGCCATATTTTACGCATGTAGCTTGAGCAATTAACAAAAAAAAAAAAAAAAAAAAAAAAAAAAAGGACAAGGATTTGGATAAATCATACCCTGACTGCTAGTTCCATCAACTCAAAATGACTGGCTTCCTAACTAGATATCATGGAGCTGCAGAGGCTGAAAGATACAGTTTCCCTGCTAGATCGGTATACGCAGATGGACAAAAGACTAGGAAAAATGACACTATACTCAACCTAGAGTCAAAAAAATGTCATTACACAATCCACTATGCAAAAAAAAAAAAAAAAAAAAAAAGCAGTCGCAGCAATACTGAGGAACCAAACAGATAGCACTGGCAGGTAGAGTGCCAGTCTGGAACTTTTTATATGTGGAAAATACAGCTCTCACTCAATGCCAGGGGTGCTTGAGAAACTTCAAAAACATTCTTATTTAATAAATATAAGTCATGTAAATAAAATGGGTACTTTGAAGGCACCCCTGCCAGTAATTGGACTTCACATTTATGTTTTCCATTTGTTGGTGTATTTTCATTAAGTACCATTAACACCTATGAAATAGGTGTTTATGGTATGCACACCAAAATGAAAGAAGCATAATTTTTGTTTATTTAGCTTGTATCAACCCCTATCTGTCAGCTTTGCTCTACAGTTTGGTCTACATGAAAATTGTGAGAATCTTCAGAATAGAGAGCAACTAAAATGGATCAAAGCACTGGTAAACTAGAAAGATACAAGACAGAAGATACAAGACAGCAACACATTCCATTATCTGTGAACATGTGTGAATTCAGGAAAGCTGGCTTAAAGTGATTACAAAAAGAAAAACTTTCTGGCTCCCCTGTCGACTGCCCCCATAGCAACACTTGCTATGGGGCACTCTTGTTCGCTCAAAACACGAGACAGCTCTGTGTGTCCATTGAAAAAAGAGAAAAAAAAAAACCTGGCTCCTCTCCCCTGCTGACTGCCCACATAGCCAGGCACTTGCTATGGGGCACTTTTACTCGCTCAAAACTCGAGTCGGCTCTGTGTGTCCAGAAAAGAAAAAAAAAAAAAAAAAAGTTGTGTACTAAAAACATATCATGCCAGGCAAAGTAGATTAAGAATCAAATCATCCTAATTTTTTCCATACCTGAGCAATGGCATCCTTGAGTCGATTATATTCTATAACATCAAATTTTTCTTTTTTGGCCGATTTATGGAAAAAATGTAAGAACTGTCTATCACTGGCATCTGCATACATATATTCCTACAAAGGAAAAAAAGCAAAAAAAATGTATATGTTTAAGAGTTTGCATTCATGCTACACATATTGTACTATGCTGCCTCTGTTAACCAAATAAATGTCTGTTTTTATTTTTCCTGTGCAGGAAACAGTGTTAATGAGCATGATTTATACCAATACATGAGCTGGCAATGTTTATGGTGGAATACTTTTCATACACAGGCTTTAAAAAAGGACAATATATGAAAGGTTTGTTTATAAAAGTAGGTATTTCTGCTTTGAAATATCCCAGATAACACACACATAAGGCTGCATTCACCCTTTCACACGTTCCCACTCACGATTTTGGTTGAGTAATTTGCACGCGATTTTGTGTGTTGCACATAGGACAGCCCATTCATTTCCTGGGCTGCCCTATGTGCATTTTTCACCTGAAAAGAAGCTCATGCTCATTTTTGGGTGATGAGATTTTTAAAGGTGCTTTTTGCTGTGGCACCGTCATGCAACAATTGTGGCAGGATCTCATTGCATTTAGGGTGCCTTTAAAGGATAATGGTACGCAAATGTGAGCCGTGCAGCGATTGCCACGTGATTTAGAATTGTTGCAGTTCTGCCTGCGATTCCAAATCGCAATGTTTGAATGGAGCCTTAGAGTAGAACTATGCTCTGCCAATATGCTCTGAAAATATTTACTGCAGAACTTAAAGTTTAACTCAAAAAGGGGAAGATCCACTGTTCCTCCCTATTCCTCGCTCCTCTGTCACAACTGGCAACTTTTTTAGGGGGGGCTGGAACGGGTTTTGACAGATACCCGCTCCCACTTTTGTGCCAACTGCCTAGGTCATTAAAGCAGAAGTTTACCTCCTTGCAGCCTCTTGGGACACGTCACAGGCCTCAAGAGACTTCGGGATCATTCACAAGGCGCAGTGTGGCTTGCAGATGCATAGTGGGCAGCTTGCTGTGGAGCTATGAGCAGTCACAGTCGGCTGCCCACAGTTAGGATGCTGGCAATGGGGACAGAAGAGCAGTGAGCAAAATCGTTTGGGAGAGCATAGCGCTGAATCTCTGGACAGGTCAGTGAAAATTAATTCAGCAGCTACAAAAACTGTAGCTGCTACATTTAATAAAACAAAAACAGAAAAAAAAAAAAGGCTAAAGAGCCACTAAGTGCAGATGTATTTTTAATTACAGATTGTTTTGCCCCCCCTGCAAAGTCTACAAATGCATTATTGATCCTGCCAATGAAATCTAACCAATGCAACTTCCTGTGATGGTGTGGCAATGATGCTGCACTGCTCTTGAATTCAGAGCAGAGTTTGAAATGTTGTAGAGGAAGTTCCCATCAGCATTGTCACGGCTGACTCTCAAGCCTGTAACTTATCAATCAGCACTTCACTACACCTAGTGCCATCCACTGTTTTCTGGATTGACAGCATTGTTGTTGAAAAACTCCCACTGTAAGCTGTAGTGTCAGAGGGGGGAGCATGTGAAACAGAAATCCAGGAGGGTTTGACCTGGTCAGGGAAGGTAAAATAAGTCTTTTTTTACTTCATGAGGCTTGTGCATCACATAGTAACTGGATTTGGTACTTGTTTAGACTGTCATACAGGAGCCTTTAGGAATAAGTCACCAGAAAACTCTGCACTGCAAGCCCATTCCATGAACAGCACATTAGAGCTTCAGCTCTATTCAAAGACATGTCATTCTTACCCTGCCTGTTAGAATATAATAGGCACATCCTGCAATGCCTGTGCCGTAGGTGACAAAGTACGTGACCGGCTCCATGATATCCCAGGAGTATTCCCACCATGTCAAACGAGCAAAGACTCCAAATTGTACAGACATATATGCTAACATTCCCCATTGAGCCCATCTTGTCTTCTTTGCTGCTCGTCGAGCAATATGAAGCCGAACCTAAAATTTACAAAAAAGGAGAAAAAAATTGGTATACTTTTTGACCAAAATGTGTAAGCTGCTTCTAGTTTTTTGTGAGGACAGGACTGAACATTCACATTTGAGTCATATGCATCTGGTGTATATGTGCAAGTGAACACTGCTCTAATTTAAAAAAAAAAAAAAAAAAAAAAAAAAAAAAAATCCCATGTTTTTGAAGAAGTTATGATGGATTTAGAATGCAACGTTTCAGAAGCAAGAAACACCAACATGCACAAGCAATGCCAAAACAAGGTCCTTTAGCACCAAGGGCAAAAAGGTCAAAGTGCAGCTCCTGTACATGACCTGCTAACTACTGCAGCAGCACAGGTTGCAAGTCCTGTCCATTCAAAATGAATGGGCTGCCAACACACCCCAAAACGCTTAAAATTGCACATAACTCTTTTTGTTTTCGAACACTGAACAATACCATGCATTGCAGCGTGCTACAGCAGGTGGATAATCCTAGTGTGGTGAGATGCCATTCAAAAATGAGTACTCTAGGTGAAAGCAGGGGCGGACTGACCATTTAGAAACTCGGGCACTGCCCGAGGGCCCGGGTCAGTAGGGGGCCCCATGAGATGCCCCTGGTACCTTTTTCATTGGCTTTTTTGAGTTTGGGAAAGGACACAGGGGCCCCATGATCCCCTATTGCCTGGGGGGCCCCATGAGTTGTCAGTCCGCCCCTGGGTGGAAGTCATTAGAACTGTATGTGGGGGATTTGTGGACCACTTCATGTCTGCCGGGCAGGGTCAAGCATTGTTTAACTTTCTGATTTGCTCTCACTGTGGCTGGAGAACAGATATTCAGCAAAACTTTTTCTTTCACTGTGGGATGTGCTCTGTGTGGCGATTGCATATGATCGACAATGTGCAATCAGCAGTGATCATCATGCAGAGCAGATCGTTCAATGAATAAACAGATAATATTGATAGACATGAGCACAACAAAAAATATAGTTTAGTTTCGATTCATTACTTAAATTTCATTTAAATTAATTTAAAATTCAATTTGAATTGTCCTATTAAGGTCGAAGTATCGAATCGGCATTCATATTCAAATTTATTCTATTTGAAACTTGAATTTCGGAAGGGGGTTATATTCTATGTTTTTTCTATCCTATTCTTTATTTTAGATTCTATTTTATTCTTTTATCTATTCTGTTTTACTGTATTCTTTTCTATTCTGTTCTTTCCGAAATTCGAACTTCAGAAGGCAGCTATATTCTGTTATTCTATTCTACTCTGACTATCCTTTTATTTTCTATACCCTTATTTTTTATTCTATTTTATTGTATTTTTAGTTTATATTCTATTATATTCTTTTGTATTTTATTCTATACCTATTTTCTTTTATTCCTTTATTTTCTATTCTGTTTTACACTATTCTTTTCTAGTTCTTATTTTCTATTTTATCTTATTCTATTTTTGTTTTTGATTTCGTTCTCAAATTGGATTCAAAATTGAATTTCAGATGCAATTTCGTTTCGTTATTTTGGATTAGTTTAAATTCATTACTAATGTAATTCGGATACAAATCAAATCTCCAACAAACGAAAAATTTGTCTGAATTTAGAACGAAACAAATCGCACATAACTAACTTTTAATTAGCAGTGTCCCAGCTAGTGAGAACGTTCAAGTCAGAAAGGTAGGCAATACCTGATTCTGCCCTGAAGACAAAGTGATCCCTCAATCCTCATATACTGCTCTAATAACGGTCACCTAGAACGCGAATTTCAAATGGCATCCCAACACACTGAGGCTACATACCTACTGAAGCACAAGAGGAGAGTTCATGTCGGCAGCTGCAATCTGTTTCACCCGCAGATTCCCCAAACACTACACAGCATCAAGCACCCCTCCCACAATACCCAGCACCAAGGTCAGGTAAAGCCTCTGTCACAGGACATGCAGCCTCCTGTGCTCCAGAATAGAGAATAGGTTATTTATTTTGCTTGTTGAGCAATACTACTGTAGTGCTAATCACTGCAAGTGTTAAGATTTTTATATAATTCTAAAATTTCCCAGATTACCAGATAATCTGGTTGATAATTTACAGATTTTTAGTCTACCTTTTCAAGAGGCTCCAGCTGCTCTCGAAGGACCTCTAGCCGACGACAAAGTTCTTGTTCCTTGTCAAGCTGGTGTTCTTCAACTCGCATAGAGCTGTACAGCTGCTGTACAAGGGTCTTCAAGTCATTCATTGTTGTTGCATCTTCATGGCTTAAAAGTTCTGAGCATGTAGCAAAACAAGGCAGAAGGCCAAGAGTAACATTATATATGTGAAGGAAAAGTAAGCCAGGGTTTATTAACTGTTTTGTGACACACTATACCTCGTTTTGGCGGCTGCACATGGTAGCTTCTATCATTAATAGTCAATTTAAAATCATCTAATAGAAGAACTTCTATACTTGTGGAAGAGGATATACGTTCTCCATCTGAAAGTAAAAAAAAAAAAAAAAAAAAAAAAAAAAAAAAAAAACAAAAAAAAAAAAAAAAAACAGTTTAAAAATGAAAATCAGCAACGGACATTTGAAATATAATAAAATAAATCCCAAATCACATATGAAATAATGAGACTATGTTACCTACATTTACTCGCAATGTGTACATTTTTACAGAATAAAATATCTGTCCAGATAAAATCTTCTTGGCTTTTCCTACCAAAAAAGTCTGAATAAGGTTTTTGGTATACCCATATTAAACATGAATTTCCCCAGGAGATCATTTTTCTTCTTTATTAGCCATTACAAGAGTTCTTAAGTCACATTGTTAGATTATTACTGTAAGACCAAATAGGCTGCAGAAAGAGTACTGCAGAGTGCACATATTTCAAGCCAAAAAGGAAAAGTTTGAAGAAACTCATGGTTACAGGAAAATTCCATTATGTATTAACAAAAACACATACGGCCTTTGCTGAATGTCTACCTACTGGCCCTCCTGGGTAAGTGCCAAACCTAGTAGCCCTATGCTGTACAGAAGTAGGTGAAGAATCACAGTGGACAGACATGTTACCAAAAGGCCATGTCATGCTTATAAATAAAAAATAAAACTGGGGCAATTTCCTAGCAAGGTTTTCATTTTTAAAAGAGGTTTGCATGCATTTCTTGGAGACAACTGGCTCAAGTTGTACTCCACATTTTAATGAAGCCAGATAAAAGGTGCTTCATATGCTGACCAGAACCATTAGTCTTACACCCTCTGTGCATTTCTGAATGGACAAATACTGTGTGATATGGGAAATAACCAACAAGTGTTGTATTAGATTTAAAGATCTGCAATATAAATATTACAAACACCCAGAAATGAATAATTTCCAAAAGTGTTGCTTAATGCCTCTGAAATTAGTCCCCAATAATGTCAGGAGCACTGAAGATCCTTCTTGTTGCTGAAAAACCGGGAAACCTGCAAAAGGGGCTATGGTAATTAATACGTGGGGGATCCCCCCCCTTTTATCACCATCCAAGCAATAAATAAATAAAATAGAGTAACCCTATAGAGGCATACACTGTAGGTGCACTCTAAAGTAGGGGTGTCCAACCTTTTGACTTTCCTGGGCCACATTGGAAGAAGAGGAATGGTCTTGGGCCACACATAAAATATACTACCAATAGGAATAGCTGCTGAGCAGCAAAGGTTTAGGCAGATCACAAATTAACAATCACGTATATAAGATAATGTACCCGAGTAATACACTTCATTTTTTGTAATATTTTTATTATATAAACAGAAGATGGCAACATAAAACCAGCGCAACATTTGACACGGTTTTTGATAAACTAACACATCAATATATCTGGTTCGATGGATGTAGTAGCAATTCTCAATGAATTCTCAAGGTGCTCCTGAGATATTTGTGTGCTTCATCCATGAAAACAGCTGCTCACAAATACAGGTGCTGCCGAAAACGGATGACATGATGAATAAGGCGTGATTGTTTCGAGTGGGATATTTTTCTTTGGGAAGATAAAACTTATAAAAGTCCAGGAAAAAGAGACAGTCAAATTTTTTTCTTTGGCCACGCGTTCACTAAGTGTAAGCGCACTTTTACAAATTCCCCCCCCCCCCCCAGAAGAAGAAGAAAAAAAAAGAAGAAATCAACATTCTTAAGCAAGTTTATGATTTTGTATTGGGCAACATTCACAGCCGTTTTGAGTTGCAGGTTCGACACCCCTGTTCTAAAGAATTTTAAATGCATCAAGCAGAAGAATATTTTTCAGACAGACAAAAAAAATAAAAAAATCTAAGCAGCAAATCGAGTTAAGGCTTTCAGAGACAGCCACTTACATACCTATGGAGTAGATTGCCACCCTGTCTATTCCTCGGTCTTCTGATTGAACCTGCTGAAGGAATACTCCTACTGTATCTGAAAGAGGCTTTAGAGTGAATCTGCATTGTTCCCGCCGTGATGGGAGGGTAAAGGTTATCACAGGCAACCCGTTTTGGTAAATCACAGAAACATCTAATAAGAAATAGAAAGAACCGGAATTAGCTGGACAAATGGATACGGTTACACATTCAAATTTTTACCCAAAAATGCAAGCAAGGCCTGTCATATCATTCACCATATTAAATATACTGTTCTATTGTAGGCATGGAGCAGGGGCGGACTGACCATTTGGAAACTTGGGCACTGCCCGGGTCAGTAGGGGGCCCCATGAGATGCCCCTGGTACCTTTTTCATAGGCTTTTTTGAGTTTGGGCAAGGATACAGAGGCCCCATGATCCCCTATTGCTCAGGGGCCCCATGAGTTGTCAGTCCGCCCCTGGCATGGAGTCTACAACAGGATAATCCAGCTTCACTACATGTCACTTTTGCTTCCAGTATTTCAATGAAAAATAGAGTGGAAAGGTGAGGTATTGGTAGGACTATAACAACACTTCTCTTCTTACTCTAATAGTTAGCAGCCTTGATGCAAATCAGTCTGTGACTCCTTGGAGGCTTATTTATGGAGCCTTTTCTTCATCTTTTGGCCAAATACTTGCTATTTTTCTGAGCAAGTTATGTTAGGTTTTTTTAAAATGTTTTGGTGAATTTTCCTTTTCCTTGTTATTCAGCTTAAAAAAAAAAAAATGTATTGCATTTACAAAGCGGAGCTAAAAGTTCACTAGTAGTTCACTGCACAATATTTGTGGATATATTCCCGTCTGCATTTGGCAAATATTATTGAGCATAAACATAAAATTACCTATGAGAATCTAAAAGAAAATGAGAAATATTCATTTTATCTGAAAAATGTTTACAGGCTTCCTCATGATCAAAGCTTTGGTGTCTGTAAAACTAACTAACTATGGGTATGGGCAGGGCTGATGCTTCCACTAGGCAAACTAGAAGGCCGCCTAGGGTGCACTGCCACCTAGGGGCACCTGGGAACAGCACAGGTCAACACTCTCTGTGTAGGATGCTGCCACATCATGAATGAACCTTCAGCTGAGGGGAGGGGCGGCAGAGGGGAGGGAGAAGGACAGAGGAAGATGCCCAGTGTCTGGAAGAAGCAGCAGCTCAGCTTCTACACTGGCCCCAGTGTTCCTCTCAGACTCCCCTACTGCAATCTGGCTGGTGGCTGCTGATCACTATGGATTTCCAGCCCTTCTCTTCCCATTGATCAGCAGAGGCGAAGCTGTGCCTGCGAAGGAAGGTAATGTCTGACTCTGATGTCACTTGTCTGTGTGAGTGTGACCTGGCTGGCCATTCATCGCATGTGCAATGTGTCAGTGAGAGATGACATCACAATCCCAAAGCCTGCTCTTCTAGTGCCTGCTGATCTGTGTTGGTGGTGATGTGTTGTGTCAGATCTGTCACTGTGTGGGATCGCTCAATTCAGGTGGTGTGTGTGTGTGGTCTGGGATGCGGTTTTCTCTCCCCTGTTTGCATGGGGAATTTCAGCCTGGGATCTGCAGAGTGTGGATCCATCATCCTCCACTCACTGCAATGGTCACCCTGCCACTGCGAGCTACAGCCCGTCCGTGACATTGATTTGGTCTTTAATATTGGTGCTGGTTGCAGCTTACGGCACTTGTTTTTGCAAGTTAAAAGAAATTTAGCAGTTTCATGTTTTGATGATTTCATATTTTCAACTGTTTTTAATTTTTTTTTCTTGGGGGGGGGGGGGGGGGCAGTAAGTAGCTGGTCTTGCCTAGGGCAAAAATAATCTAGCACTAGCCCCGAGTATGGATAAAACTAGCATTTGCAAACAGAACCTTGTAAATGAGACAATTGTGTTTTTTTTGTATATATGCAGATAAATCTGTTGTGAGGATTTGCAGACAGCGTTGGAAGATTGTTACCCACATGGATAGCCAAAAGATTGCTTGGAGGTTATTTGCTTCCCAATACAGGGGAAAAGTAAATAAATTATGTAATTGTAAAAAGAACAATGAACATAAGCATAGGGCTATATATTTTACATAATACAAAGACATACATTACTGAAGTGACTGGCATATACTTTTATCTTTAAAAATAAAATTTTAAATAATTGTTTTCACCATGCATTTTTAATTTATTAAATTATTATTGTGGTGAGAATACTGGGATAGACCACTACAGCTCTCTGGAGGGAAGCACCAGCTAAAGTTCAACATGCAAATACATCTACTCACCATCAGAGGGCGATGCTGTACTGCAAAATACTACTCTTTGGCACGGCCATGCAGGAAACCTCTGGCGCACCTGAAATAAAAAATACTATTAGGCATCAGGAAATGACCCTGCAGCTGAGCTAAAGGTGCTAACAACATAAAAAGAAAAGAAATCAAGTCAAATGCTTAACTGTACCAGAGGACTCACAACTAAAGAAACTGACTGTAATTCTGTCATTCAGGAACATTTATAGTTTTCTCACTACTGAATCTCATGATGGAGATCAAATATACAGTGAAGGAAATAAGTATTTGATCCCCTGCTGATTTTGAATGTTTGCCCACTCACAAAGAAATGATCAGTCTAAAAATCAAATGGTAGGTGTATTGTAACACAGACAGAATAGCAACAAAAAATTCAAAAGAAATGCATGTCTAACAAATGATGCACAGATCTGCATGTTCTTTGATCCCCTATCATTCAGCAGGATTTCTGGCTACCATATGTCTTTCATACAGGTAACAAGCTGAAATTAGAAGCAGTCTATTAAAGGGAGTGCTGCTAATCTCATTTTGTTACTTGTATAAAAGACACCTGTCCACAGAGCAATCAAACAGATTCCAAACTCTCCACCATGGCAAAGACCAAAGAGCTATCCAAGGATGTCAGGGACAAGATTGTAGACCTACACAAGGCTGGACTGGGTGACCAAACAATCGCCATGCAGCTTGGTGAAAAGGTGACAACAGTTGGTGCAATCATTCGTAAATGGAAGAAACACAAAACAACTGTCAGTCTCCCTAGGTCTGGTGCACCATGCAAGATCTCACCTCGTGGAGTGTCGATGATCATGAGAACAGTGAGGAATCATCCCAGAACTACACGTGAGGATCTTGTCAATGATCTCCAGGCAGCTGGGACCACAGTCACCAAGAAAACAATTGGTAACACACTACGCGGACAAGGATTGAAATCCTGCAGCGCCTGCAAGGTCCCTAATCTCAATAAAGCAGAAGTCCAGGACCGTCTGATGTTTGCCACTGAACATCTGAATGATGCAGAGGAGGACTGGTTGAAAGTGTTGTGGTCAGATGAGACCAAAATCAAGCTATTAGGCAGCATTCCTCCTCCTCCAAACACGGCGAGTTGAGGCCAATGACCCCAAGAACACCATTCCAACTGTCAAACATGGTGGTGGAAACATTCTACTTTGGGGGTGTTTTTCTGCTAAGGGGACAGAACAACTGCACCGCATCAAAGGGATGATGGGAGGGGCAATGTACCATCAAATCTTGGGTGAGAACCTTCTTCCCTCAGCCAGGGCATTGAAAATGGGTCGTGGATGGGTGTTCCAGCATGACAATGACCCAAAACACACGGCCAAGGCAACAAAGGAGTGGCTCAAGAAGAAGCACATTAAGGTCCTGGAGTGGCCTAGTCAGTCACTAGACCTTAATCCGATTGAAAATCTGTAGAGGGAGCTGAAATTTTCAGTTCAAGTTTCCAAACGTCAGCCATCAAACCTTAATGACTTAGAGAGGATCTGCCAAGAGCAGTGGGCCAAAATCCCTCCTGAGATGTGTGCAAACCTGGTGGCCAACTACAGGAAACGTCTGACCTCTGTGATTGCCAACAAGGGATTTGCCACCAAGTACTAAGTCATGTTTTGTGAAGGGGATCAAATACTTATTTCCCCAATGAACATGCAAATCAGTGCATAATTTGTTAGACATGCATTTATTTTGAATTTTTGTTGCTATTCTGTCTCTCAGTGTTACAATACACCTACCATTCAATTTTTAGACTGATAATTTCTTTGTGAGTGGGCAAACATTCAAAATCAGCAGGGGATCAAATACTTATTTCCTTCACTGTAAATGATCATAGAGGAAAGCCGCATAACCTCATATAGGAAAGCCGCATAACCTCATATAGGAAACACGCATAGGCTCACATCATAGCAGGTTTTTTTCCCCATCATAAGAAAAGGCCAAAATCCAGCCACTTAATTTAAAGCATCATGAGATTTTATTTAAAAAAAAAAAAAAAAAAAAAAAATCACAAACCAAAAAATTTCACATTGAAAATGCAAGCTGTGATAAAAGTTTGCCCTTGGTGAGTTCATGCTCACTAAACGTCTACAGAATTGCGCACAACCAGATCTCAATGTGCGAAAAGGCTTTTTATTGTTTTTTCACTCAAATTTCTGAGAATTTCATACCAAACCTGAGATTAATTATACAGTATTTGATGTAGTGAAGCTTAAGAACTTTAAAGGCTCACATTGTGTAGAAAAATTCATACTAAATGCACATCTTTTTTCAGGTAAAAATACGCATTTTTTTTTTTTTTTTACTCCGTGGACTGTAAAGCATTGCACCTGCAATCAGATTGTGGGTGCCACATCAGGATCCTGCAGATTCATTCAGCTGTCTGCCAGTTCCTCCCATATAAGGGCTCGTTCACACTTGACTTTTTTTCCAACTCTTGCCAAACGCCCCTATAGCGTTTGACACGCGTTGGTCTGGCGTTTGTGGAGAGTTTTTAACGCTCCGCAAACGCTCCAAAAACTCTGCATGAGCGGTTTAGCGGCGGTTGCTAGGAATTTGCCAAGCATTAAAAACGCCCCACAAACGCCTATAATGAAGTTTGAATGGTGTTAACGCTCCGCAAACGCTGGGCGTTTGCGGAGCAGCACCGTAGACTTGAATTGGAGGCTTAAACTCCTGACTCGACCAGAGGCGTCCGTTCTGCCGCAACGCTAACGCTCCCGTTTGAACAGCACTATGTGCTGCAATGTGCAGAATTTTCCGAGGCGTTTGGAAAACGGTAAAAATGCTTCCCAAATGCCTGTCTGCCGCTTTCTAACAAGGCTAGTGTGAACGTAGCCTAAGCAGACAGTTGCAGAAGTCTAGGAAGAATAAATGAACTAAGAGTTCTCACCAACGCCCTTGCAGTTCATTGAGAACTACAAACCATCCGCAGTGAAGGCAGACAGTAGTTGTAGTTCATTCATTCACAGAAAACTAAATCAATGCTGCCATGTAGGCGGTGCCCTGCACAGCCAGGCGGTATTTGAATTGTGACAGCGGGTGAGGGGAGAAGATCCTCCAGCTGCTGTCACAATGAGGGGATCAGGAGTTCTTTGGTAACATGTTACACCCTGAATACAGGTGTAACATGTTACCAAAGGTGAACTTATCCTTTAAAGGTCAATTTACATGTATGCTTTCCATCAATGCACGTATTACACACATATTACAAGTGCTGACACTTTGCAGTGCCATTCATTTTGAATAGCAACCGAACGCAATGTGCTGCAACACACCATAGTGCAGCAACATTTTGTAAATTGTCCATTATTGGAAGAAGGGAATTTGTTGCTTGCATGGGTTCTGTAGCGCAGGGTGCTGTATTGAACTAATCTACGTTACCACCATACAAATCATAGGAAAAGACGGCTCTTACGGCCAAGTTCACACATACCTGGCTCTGCAAGGCACGTTCTGTGCAGGCATGGTAGCCCATTTATTTTGGCTGCTGTGCCCCCTGAAATGCATGGAAAAGGTCCCTGCAGCATTTTAGAAATTGCAGCCTGCACGGGAGATGCACATGCAGTGCGATTCCCTGTGCAGGAGGCATGCCCTTAAGATTAATGGTACCCGTGTGCATCCAGAGCGGTTGGTTGTGGCTGTGAACAGGTGTGGGCCAGTAGCAGGGACACCTACACAGATGTGAGCCTAGCCACACCAGCACAGCTTGGTACAGAGATAATCTGGTCCTTTAATAAAGTAACAAGCATTGCAAGTCATTTTTTTGGAACCTTGCAAGATCCCTTTTTCAAAACAAAGTACTTTGAGAAAATATCCTGTAAAATCCTGAAAAATTGACGCTACCTGTTGCTTTATGTAAATAAAGGACAAGTTTCTCATTATATCAGGCCATTCTGGCGAAGAGCCTTATTGGCCTGATATTTGGCAGGTTTTGCTGCATCAGTAGCCATAGATTTTAAGAGGCTGCCTTAATCCAACATACGGTAAAGTGTGCCATAACATGTACTGGTGCACTGAACAAATGTAATTGGGACCCAATGCTTTTTTTTTTTCTCATCCACATGTCTACTTTTAACAAGGTTTATTAAAGTGGATATACACTGCATCTGATCACCACAAACCAAAACCACTACTCCTTTTTTAATATTCAAAGCAATTTCATCCATCTGTCCATGTCCTAATGCTCTATTGTACCGAAAAATCATTTAAAAAAACACCCACTAGCATTTCTGGCCGTGGCCAACTTTAGTAATGGTAGGTGATTTAAAGTAACATTTATATCCTTGAATTCATTTGCCCTTAGCTCAGGCATGTAGGTAGGAGGGTGTGCTTAGCTGAGAGAATCACTCCTCCCCTCCTGGAATTTAGGACATCATTTTCCTGGGCTAGAAACCAGAAAGTAATTCAACAAAAAAAAAAAAAGTTTTAAAAACAAGTAAATATTATATATGTTACTATTTACGAATGTTTACAGCATAAGGATTAAAAATACTGAGTGTTAGGTGAGGGAGTGCAGTACCACCTTAAACACTAATTTTGACACCCTGCAGCTCCTGCATCAAATCTTTGTAAAATGGATGAAAACCAGGCAAGAAGTTACAAATGACCGAATTGCAGCAAAACGAAAAGAGCATTTTACTTGCCATCTAAAACCCCTCAATATTTTAGATCTTTTTTCATATCGGGTTTTAAAAGTGGAAAAAGAGAACTTTATGAAATACCAAGATCAGGCACTACTTTAAGTTAGTTCTCATGGCACTGACTTTTGAAAACAAGTATAACAAGATGTGAAAGAATGAGGTCAAAGTGACCTGCATATTATTTCCAGCACAGTCCCTATGAATAAACTGAAGGTCAAAAGGAAGATAGGGGTACGGCGTTTGGCAAAGGTCCTTCACCCATAACGAGGAGTCATCAATTGTGCCTAACGGCTTGGCTTCAGCAGCTCTCCACAAAACGGGGAACCCCAACAAAACAAGGGTGGTCAAAATTGAGAGGTCCATGTGAAAAGAAAAAAAAAAAAAAAAGTGCCAAACA